AAATTAGCACTTTGATATCAATATACAAGAAAAAAGGAGATACATTGTTCAAACTATTTTGATATTAGACTCGTGAACAAACAATAATTTTTTAGAGGTTAATTGAGCAAAAACTAAGAAAGAAGACGAGTAGATTTGAGAATCAATTTGTTTTTATGCCCAGGAAGTCAACTATATAAACTATTCATATATCAAGACAGATGATGGAAACTATTCAGATGAATGATGGAGAGATACATAGCGAAGGGAAATGATTTACATATGGTTTTTAATAATCTAGAAGAAATCTTATGATAGAGTGCACACGAAGAAAATGTGACGGGTTTTAGAAAAAAAACATGTATCTAATATGTATATTGATGTGATAAAAAGATATGTATTATAGACTAACAAGTAACAACTAAAGTGAGAACAAATGAAGCGGAGAGAGAATTATTTCCTATTGTCGCTTGTCTACATCAAGGATGAATCTTAAGCCCTTTTCTTTTTTTGCATTAGTTATAGAACTTATGGACACATTCTAGATAAAGTTTCATGGTGTATATTATTTGCTAATAATATTTTATTAGTTGATAGGACTAAGAAATTATACATAGAAAATGTATAATTTCTAAAGTAAAAAGATTGAGAGAAGCTCTGGAAACTAAAGAATTTAGAATTACAAGGAGAAAAAATAGAAACATGAAATGTAAATTTCATAAAAAGAGCCTACATGTTGGTGGTCAGGGAAAATCTCAAAAATAATTACTTTTGTTATTTAAAGTCTACCATTTGTTGTGGTAATGAGATTGAGGATGATGCTGCCTATCAAATCAAAATTGGATGGTTAAGATGGATGCTTTTGAAGTGTAATGCAATCGTAAAATACCTATAACATTGAAAAAAATATTCTACAAAACAATGACAAAACCAACACACTTTATAGATCACAATGTTGGGCAGATAAAAGTCACATGTGCAAAAAAATGAATGTGGCAAAAATAAAAATGTTACAATGACTTTGTGGATATCCACTGCAGTTATCTCGGACACAATGAGGCGATTACCTTGGGCGCTTTGGGGTACCAGAAATGCGCCCCATATGAGTGTGGGGCGCATCGCATAAGTGATGTGCGTGCTCACTGTGCCTCATCGCCCCTTGGCCCTCGATGCGCCTCGATGCTCCTCATTACTACTCACCATTCCCCAATTTTTAACTACATCTTATTCTTCTACATTCTCTTGTTTTTATTTCCTCTTTCTCTTTCTCCTTTCCCACATATTATCGTCTACTCCATTTTTTTTCAATTTTCCCTTTTTTCTCTTTTCTTGTTAGTACTTCTATATCTAGAAGACTAGAACATTGATTAAAAAATCACAAACTATTATCTAGATATCATGACATCAATGATCAAGAATGTTAGTAATTATGAATGTATGATTTCATAGTAAATATTCTCTTATATTTTTTAACGTGATTAATTACTGAAAATATGGAAGCGTGGAGTTATGTTTACATTAACACTCTTTTAACTAGTGCTAAGATTATGAAATAAGACCCTATTTTGCAAATTTAATACACGGTCATTATCTTAACATGCTCTTCCCACTAAAAATCATAAACATATTGCTGGTTTAATTTAATAAATCTATCAAATAATTTTTTTTGTGTGATGTGTCTCGCAGCTCGCTTCACTGAGGCGCGCGCATTGCCTTGCACCTTGCACATGATGCGTGTAAGGGGACTTTGCACCCCTGCATTGCGCCTTGATAACGCTGATACACTAAGTGATAAGACTAAATATGAGCATGTTAGTAAGAGATTAGAGAATACCCCTACTGAGCACAAAATGAGAGAATCAGTTGAGATGGTTTAAATATGTACAATAGGAGGGCTCTTAGTGTGCACCAACTAGAAATCGTGATAATATTAAAGTCAATGGTAATATCATAGAGCAGATCTAAAATAACTTGGTTGGAAGCAATAAAGGAAAACATGACAAAATTTAACTTAACGATGAGATGACCAAAATAGAACTACATAGAAGAATATGATTTAGGTGGTTGACTCCAAAATTTGGGATAAATGCTTCATTGTAATAATTATTAATTAGCGGATAAACAAGTTTCTCTGATATCAAGTTAAACCACTCCGGTTTTTATAAGCAGAAGGCATCATATTGCACACCAAAATTCGAAATAGCTAAAAATTAAAATATGTTCCTATGAGTTCAACAACTGGAATAAAAGAATATGTGAAATTTTCAACCAAAGACAATATATTCATTGGTGCCAAAATAATGATTTACTAAGAAAGTACAAAAAAAATATAATTACCTAGGTCTTAACAAATGCTACTAACCCTCTAGAACACGCTAGAGCAGCCAAACTTGCTAGTCTACTTAGTTCACACATTTTTTTGGTTCTTCCTCTTAATTCCTATGTTCTTCCACAAAAGTATAAGGAGAAAAGAACATATGTGTTAACTTCAACTTGAAGAAAGATGAAAGAAACTAAAAATATTGTATTCAAATTATAAATAAAGTAGATAACTCCAATCTCAAGCCCAACTTTGTGTTCATTGTAGAAAAATTGTAGTTGGTTCATACATGTGTTGTGATGAACTCTGGAGTTCTTATTGATACAATTTTTTTAAAACTACGAGCATATGTTATAAAAAAGATGTTATTTGACATCATACTCATATACACTTGTGAAGGCTCAACTATATATGCATGCGGAAACTTACTAAAAATTTTCTATGTATTCTTAGTTAGAACTGAGCTATAAAATGGAGTCATTTACCATATTACTACTTCCGAACAAAATATTTTTTAGTCTTTTTAAGTTCAAATTATGACATTTATTCTTGTACTTCAATGTAAGAACATAAGACTTAAGAGCAAGAACCAAAAATTAAGTGAGATATAAGTAGGCGCTAGGCAGGCAAGCGTGGTTGCTACTACTACTAGCATGTTCTTATGTTATTAGTTCATATGTTTTGCACTTTTCTAGTAAATCATTATTTTGGCACAAATGAATATAGTGTCCTTTAGTTGAAAAGCTCGGTAAATCTTTTATTTCAATGTTGAAGGCAGACATATATTTAAGTTTTTAGCTATCTAGAACTAGAATTTTGGTGTTGGTCATAAACTATCTTGCTTTTCTCTATTTTTAGCAATATAATGCATTGTGTTTATAATTTTAGGAATGGTTAACTTGATTTTAGACAAACATGCTTATCCACTATTTAATAATTGTAATTTTTATCATTTTTTATAGCTTTTGAGTTTGGTGAGGTGGTGCTTAATTCCTTTTCATATTCACAATGAAGCACAAAATTTAAGATGAAATGAATTAGTTAATGAGATAAGAATGTTTCCGAGAAAATTTCTAAGCAAGAATGGTGGAGGTGATGTTGTAATGTTGCTTGGTGATGACCACTATACCAGACTCCCTTGGTTCCACCTTTGCTTTTAAAGCCTAAGACAACTGGAAGCAAAAGGTTAGAACCCTAATTTATAATTGGTAGTAGGGATGCAAAACGTAGATATTCACAGATATATTTGCAACAATACTTGACAGGATTGAGATACGGATATTAAATATTCATATCCAGTAAGATTGGATAAGAATACGCATATATATATCGCTCAGATAGTTGAATATGTTCCGACCTTAGGTTAATAGATCTGAGCCATGCTTTACTAATCTAGAGGTCTAAATTTAGCTTTTTCGGATGACTATGATATGAGAAATTTTAGTTTATTTAAATCACTCATGTGACATCACATGTTCTGATGTTCTATATATTTTTCAATTTAATTTGTTTCTCTCATATCCTCTTTACACTTACATTGTTCTCTCTTATTTGATCTATTTGTATTCAATTTTGACAGATAAGACTATGATACTTGTATTTTCAAACAGTAAGTGGTTATGAATGTGGTACTTATCATATTTAATATGTTTGCACCCCTAACTGGTAGGCTCATAAACATATGTAACAAGTCCAACCAGAAAATACAAGTTCACAAGCAAACATGGATCTTTTTTTATGGTGGCATGTGAAGTCTGATTCTCAAATATTGTATTCCCAAGATCTATATACAAATATTAATACTGCTTGCCACTTCTGCAACTGTTTTTAATGTGTTAGAAGAATCAAAATATACTTAAATTTGTTACAAATATCTAGTACGTATTGTGGCATAACAAAATTTCACACCAAGTTGTTGCATTGGATTATGTAAATGATATGTTTTAGCATTTTCCAATAAAGATTTTATTGCATATTTAAGGTGAGAAAAATTTCTCCTACCAACCACAAACTGAAACAATTTCTTTTGTTACTCAGCTTCATAGAGATAGGATAAGAAGAATCATCAACTTATAGGTTTATTCTATTGAGGAAAAAGGGGGGGGGGGGGATGGTTGAGAAGGTTTTACAACAAAGGCTACGAAACATATCAATAGGAATAGGAAGAGGTGATGAGATTATAATTAATGGAGTAAGAAGGACTAGAGGTAGACCTAAAAGAACTGGAAGCAATTAAGAAGAATAGATTCATGTAGCCGAACCTAAATATTTAGTATAAAAGATTAGTGTTTTTTTTCTGTTACTCAATTTCATTGTCTATTAGTCGGATTAGACATATACATCAAAGTTAACTTCGATATCAAGCACCATAGCAGCCACTAGAAACTGGAATTTCTTCCCTTTTCTATAACCATCAATTGCAATCTCTATAACCATCAATCACAATCTCAGGTTTTACTTTTTTTTATAACAGCAAACATAATCTAGCATTTGAACCGTACTTCCCCTACTACAAATTTGATGATAACAAAAATTCCTTTGCTCTGTTAACCACGGAGTACTCAACACTAAATAACCCATTACTGAACTACTTTCTAACTTTCCAATTGCAACAAATCAAGGTAATCAAGGCAGAAACAAGTTCAATTTCATATCCAAAACATAAAATTACCAAACAAAACCTAAAAAACCCCACACTTACCCTATACCCATTGAGCTCGTTCTCGAGTTTCTCCTTCCTCAGCTCCGCCCTTCGATCCAACGAATCGGCCCACGCCTGATC